GGCCCTCAACTTCTATAGATTTTAGGAAAATTTGACTAGAATAATCTGAACTATTAGCCGTCCGCTTCTAATAATCCGTAGTACGCGTTATTTCTGTTTAATCACAACATAGTGGGGTGTCTTCCGTAATTACACTGCGGTGACCTGTGACCGGTTGAGGCGGTCATATTTTAAAAAAGTAACTAACTAATGCATCACGTACACCTTATCCTCATCCTCCTCACTTCGCTAACCATGAATGCTTCTTCGTACAAACAGGTAGGTCTTCATTTTCTTTGCACCGCCATTAATGTCTTTTAATCTTTCTATCTGTTCACCCCGAGAATGTAGTCTACATTTGCAGTCATGAGGATTACAAAGATTAAAAGACATTAATTTGTTCACCCCGCAAACGTAGACTACATTCTCGGAGTGGTGAGAGGTTTACTCTAACCACGTTAGGCTCATTTAGACCCATTACAGGATCAACGAGCTATATTGCTTTATTTTGGGTGATTGACTCTAAGTCTGGTTCGAGGGTCGGTGGTTGGAAGTGCTCCTTTTACTTTCTTGTTCCCTTGCTGAATGCTTTGATATCAATTAAAAGCCGCCTTGTTCCAAAAAAAATTATTCCATAATAAAAGAATGACATTTATAAAAAATTAGAAAAGAGGAACTACATTTCGATGTTTGATATAAATGAGGGACTAAAATGAAATTTCTCTAAATTTAATGGATGCGAAAAGATAAGGAGGAAGATGATATGACATTGTCACATATGTAGTATACTACTAGTACTAGTTTGGCAAAAAGAGGATGACACTCCATCCCTGAGGGTCCTCCAACACCGACCGGACAGTTAGATCTGAGGATGTAAATTGAACTTTAATCACAAGCTGGCAGATAGACAGTGAGACCCTGGTACTTGCAGAAGCCCTAAGGGACCGAGTCTCCTTCAGAAAATTAGAATTACTCATCCTTTGATCTTCTTGATGCTTATGAAAAATACTTTTCACAAATAGATCTTGCTATTACAATCAAATAACGATTCCACACGCTCTATCTTAAACCGTGCGCTTAGAGTAAAACTAACATGCCGGCTAGATTGTACCTAAAATACATTCACCAGGACGGGGCCATTTAATCATATACACATGTATCTTTTTAATCATTTTTTATACTCCGTATGTAAGTCTGGGTCAATTATTTAACCAACATACAAAATTTACTAAGCTCACTAGAGAACATACTGTATTAAGGTACAATATTTTTATTTCTGAAATTAAATTATAAATAATGGTGTAAAAAAAATTATTTTGTGAGGTTACAAATTACCATGTCAATTGAACATAAGTGTAATCAACAAGTGTTATTAAGAACTAATAATTGCCTTTAATAGGAGTAAAACATACAAGTTTTCTCTAAATATGAGTCAATCTCTAATCTTCCCTATATATAGGACTAAACACTAAGTTCCTTCTCATAATACCCATAATCTAAGTAATTAATTGCCTTCCTAATTCGTTTGGGCAATTGGATCAGTCCGTTGGTGGCGGGCAATCCGGTGGTGGTGGCAACGGCTGAGCTCCGGCAATTGGTGGCGGTGGCAGGCTGCCTCTAAACTGATCATGATCCTTTGATTTATGATCATTTTTTAAAAGGCAAAACAAATTTGTCCCTTCGATACAGAGAAAAGGCGAAACAAATTTTAAGGATAGTTTTCTAAAAGGAAATGATGTTATTACACAATCTCTTTTAGCAGCTCCTTTAATTTCTCCTCAAGGCAATCTTATAAATACACATGAACTATGGGAGAAAGTAAGTCTAGAACAATATATAGAGATAAACGAGAGTTCAAAGAATATAAGAGATACGTAGTATTTATTGAAGAAATGTTCTTACACTATTTCCGTTCATGTCACGTCGTGGGTTCAGTCATATTCGCCTTTCTATTTGGATTTCGAGAAACATTAGCATATGTTTTCTCCAATGGTTGGTTAGGAACTCAAGTATCAACTTTGAGATAAAGTCGAGGGGCTCCTTATCATTAAGATAAGGTAGCTTAGAGTTGATCAATCTTGTAATTGTGTTGAAAGTTTTTAGTGAAAAAGTTCACAAATTCCCCCGAGAAATGCGTGAAAACGGTCATAGTTCTTCATACACAATTCACCCACATTCTTTTTATGTAGTTCAACAAATACATCAATTTAGCCTAATGTTTTCGCAATACTTGGAGGATTCTAAGGGTTCTTTAAACACACTTTGAAATGTGTGGAAGTGTGTATTAAAATTAGATGTTCGTCGATTATATAAAATTTAAGGGAAAGTCACACCTCTGATCATTCAAATTTAATGCAAATTGAAATATAGTACTTATCTTTTGATTTCTACAAATGTTCTCCCTTTAACATTAAGGACTATATCAACCACATGTTATAAAATTTAAAAACAATTTTTTTATTAATTTTAAAATGGAATTGCTACACTGTTAATCGAACAAACAAAAAGACTACATGTCTAATTTATTCCATAATTAAAGGATGACATTTATACAAATTAGAAAAGAGGAACTACATTTTGATGTTTGATATAAATGAGGGACTAAAAAGAAATTTCTCTAAATTTAAAGGACACTAAAAGATGAGGAAAATGATATGACATTGTCACATACGTAGTATGCTACTACAGTACTACTAGTTTGGTGAACCCCGCTCCAATACCTTAAAGGACCCTAGAAAATGACAAACTAAACCCCCAGTAATTATTGTGTGGCTTGAATTACCACCACATTGAACCGTTTAAATTGCAACTACTCAAACAATTCAAATATCATCATAAAATTAATCCACCTTAGTGTTGATTGAAATCAAATAAAGTGAAGAAAATGACATGTATATTATCAAACTTTATGTCTACTAAATATGCATTTAATTATCTAAACATCTCAAATATTAGACATCTCAAGAGAGTGACTTTAATTTTGATTCCTTTCTCTACAAAAAAAAGTTATAGGATTGGCATGAATTTAACACAAATTGACCAATGATTTCGTGTCTGGTACCATGGATTACAACCATGGCCCAATACTGAATTAAAGTAAAACTCATCAACGAGATCAGCCCATTAATCGGGATCAATAAAAAATAATAGTCGATGGGCCTCACCAGTAATCCAACCCGCGAAAGGAATCCACAACCAGGTCGGGCTGGACATCAGACCTCGAGCCTTGGCGGAGTTCTAGCGAGGTCGGGCTCTTCCTAGAGCTTATGTGGCAGGCTATTGTTCGTGCATAGCTACCTGGCTACTACAGGAAATAAAGGAAGAAACATGGACCTGAAGGAAACAATCATTGCACAACGTTCGAGACGTTACAAGACTCTATTCTAATTAATTGCATTAAATGTATCAGTTTCCTCCTAGAATACTAGAATCTAAGGTCTATAAATATCCTACTGCCTTACGCTGCCTAACTTTCATCTGCACTCGTAGATTTGCTCTTGTAGTTGGATTAAACTCCATCATTTGGTGCTCTCGTTGAGAGAACGATTTACGACGACCAATGATTTCGTGTCTGATGATACCATGGATTACAACCATGGCCCAAGACTGAATTAAAGTAAAACTCATCAACGAGATCAGCCCATTAATCGGGACCAATAGAAAATAAAAGTCGTTGGGCCTTACTAGGAATCCAACCCGCGAAAGGAACACACAACCAAGCCAGGCTGGACAGCAGACCTCGAGCCTTGCCGAAGTTCTAGCGACCAAAGGCTTATTCAAATTTTAATAAACCAAACTATGGTTTGCAAGCGGAAGAATGGGTAGATAGGAAGTAGACAATAAATAAACATTTGTAGTATATATTATTTAAAGAAAGTAGAGAAGTCAAATCATCGAACACAACCAAGAACTCAAATTCTTACCTCATCATTGTGCAAGCTCGGTTTTATACTACGTAGTTGATTGAGCTTGTTGTAAACTTTTTGTAAGGTTTAGTGAAGGAAAATACATGAAGATGATATATGAAGATTATCTTGTACAAGATAATCTTCACATATTATTATTATTCTAAAATATTACATCTCTGGCTAGTGGCTACAATGTTGATGTGTTTTTCTGATATTTTTCCTCATTGTTGACGGAGAAGTGAGTTTTCATGACAACTAAATTAATTTTCATGAAGTCATCTATAAAAGAATATTTGTACACAGCATACCATGATATCCAGTTATTAAAGCTTACGAAATACGATAGTATAATTTAACTCATAATCAAAGAGAACTGGAAAACATAGGCACGACAATATACACAAGTATAAATATGTACTCCTTCAGGCAGAAAATAATCTTGCATCACAGATTGAACACACAGAGCTCGATTAGTTGCAAAGCAACTTTAGATTACACAATCAACCAACTTGTCGAATAGGTCTAGGGCGTCCACCATACCTTCAACTTCTCAAAATAAATTATTGGTATCATCTAAGGTTGCATGAATATGAATGCGGGAATAGATGCTTTAAAAGAGTCCAAAATTATAATGAGAAACATATAATGAATATTAACTCAAAAGTAAACCCCCAGCAATTATTGTGTGGTCTGTATCATCACCACATTGAACCGTTTAAATTGCAACAACTCAAACGATTCAAATATCATCATAAAATTAATCCACCTTAGCGTTCGATTGAAATCAAATTAAGTGAAGAAAATGACATGTATATAATCCACCTTAATTAGTGTTCTAATTAAGTACCAAAACTGATGTGGAGGAGAACTTGAAAACTAAGGAAGGTGGATTGCAATCAGTAACCGTTACAATTACTTTGAATTTGAATCAAAGAAGATAGAGATTAAAGAAATAAAAATGATTTGGTACAAATTTGAGAATGGTAAATGAGAAGAAAAGGAGCCAAAATTGAGTATTAGCAAACCAATAACCAATTGTAAATTTGCACAAAATAAACTCCTAATTATTTAGTCCGTAATAGACTAATGTAGTAATGTGTACCAATAATGTACGGAGTCTACGGACTACTTTATTTTATTTTACACATCGTCTTCTCCAAGAAAAAGCTTGGTGGGCACAAGCCTGTCGGGTCAACCCTGAAACCAGACTCTAATCGCACTCAACCTGCGCTTTCTGTACTCGATCATCTTCTTGAATCAATCTCCGTCGACTTCGTCGTCGTCTTCCATGTCTGCTCCTCTCCCCTATTTCCACGCCCTCACCTTCTGCGGGGTCCTATCCGAATCTAAGCGCATCATCAATGCTCACTCCCGCCATTTTCTAGCCCTCTCCGTCTTCTTCCTCCTGCCCCTCTCTTTCTCCCTCATCATCTACCCCACTCTCCACGACGCCCTCTATCATCCGGGCTCCATCTCCTTCTACACCAGCAAATTCCTCGTGTCCGACCCGACCCGGAAATACACCGATGGAGACGCTCGGTTCTTTATCCTACCTCTCGTCTACGTCCTCTTTGTTTTCCTTACTCACCTATTCGCCGTGTCCACCGTCTCCTACAGCACATTTCACGGCTTTTATGGTAGACCAGTGAAGCTCATTTCTTCTTTCAAGTCACTTTTGTACTCTTTCTTGCCCATGATTTCGACCGTCATAGTTTCCAAACTAATCCTTTGTTCGATTGTTGTGCTCTTTGGTCTTGTTTGGTTCTTTATATTGAAAGGCCTTGAATTGCTAGGAGTTGAAGTTGATTATGACTCCAATTACTTCTATTCGGTGGTGATTCTCTATGCTGTAGTGGTTGGATATGTCTTGTTATCTCTACATGTTAATTGGATACTTGCTCCAGTGACGGCAGTGGTTGAATCCAGATGGGGGTATGGGCCATTAAGGAGAAGTTCGGATTTGGTGAAGGGAATGAAAGGGGTAGCATTGTCAATATTGCTATTTTTCAACCTCCTTATCGTATTCCTGGTGGCCAGCTGCTCTACTTTCTTGCTCCAGGTGGGGGTAACCGGTGGACGGTGGAGTTGGGCAGTTATTTTGCAGATGGTGATCAGTTCTAGCCTTGCTACTGTTCTTATGTTGCAGAGCATTGCTGCAATTGTGGTTCTGTTTATGTACTGCAAAGCATTGCATGGGGAGCTTCCCTTTGAGATTGCAGAGGGGTTTGCAGGTGATTATGTGAGTTTGCCTTTCGATGAGGAGAAGCTTCCCTATGTTGTTTATGTTGCCTGAGGTGAGCATGTATTTCTTCTACGTAATATGTTATGTCATTTGAAAAGGTACTCTAAAGCATTTTGAGAATAAGCAAGTAATACTATCACCAGATAGAGTTGTGTGTTAATTTAAAAGTAAAGGGTTGTAAACTTGTAATACGTAGTAACTAATAAGGCTATATAGGAGTACATGTCTTCGGTACATGGTTTATGATTATTTTCTTGCTGTTACTGTTACAGAAAGCATGCTATTGGTTGATCTATGATCTCCATCTTCCCCAATTATAGCTGATTACCCCAGACTTGATTGATTTTAGTGTATGAAATACTAATTTGAAATCAAATTGTAATTTGTGTAGTAAGTAAATTTACACAAGTGCTTTCTACTTGTTTGAAAGTGATGTAACCCCTACATTCCAGTCTTTCTCAACTCGAGAAGCAGGCCTGGTCCTGACATTTTATGGGTCCGGAACATTATAGATAGAGTAGGCCTTAGGGATAATGTATGAATGTTTATATTTTTTATTTCAAAAAATATATATAAGTAAAATTGAGCAATTTTATTATATAAATATGACTATAACACATCAAAGAAATTAATAAATGAGACGGTTAGAAAGATTATATTTAAATATTTGGTTAGTGACATCCGAGAATACTATGTAACTAAATCGGCCTAATGGAAAAGTAGTACAATTTGTATTTTCCATAAAGAATTTTGAATTAGGGAAACATGTGAAAGTTAAATCTTATATGAAGAAAAAAATTCATATTTCAAATCACATTTTTTAATTCTTTCATTTCATGAGAGAATTAAAGAAAATTAGCAAAATACTACGGAGTATCAATGAATTATGAGTTTACATGAGAGAAGTATATAAAAAGATTAACATTTATGCGCTAACTCTTAATGAATCAAAAGAAATGGTGAATTTTGTTTCCAAGGAATTCTAGTGTGGATGTTTAATTTCAAAATTTTAAACTTGTAGTTTGTAGATGTTTTTGTGTAATGAATTGAAAGTATAAGAAAATTAGAAGTGATTTTTTTAAAGTTTTTATAGATATATAATTAAAATAAATATGTATATATATAACTGGAAAATTTATGGGCCCCAATGGAGCAATGGGCCCTGGGCGCATGCCCCGTTGCCCATGCCCCAGGACCGGCCCTGTAGAGAAGACATTCCATAACTACCCTGTTCACAATTAAAAGATTTGTAGTCCTTTATATTTCTCAACCTTCACTGCTATGCACTCCCCATCCCATTGAAGTCTATTAATTTAGTACTTTCATTCTCTGCACACCACAATCTCTTCATTCTCTTGTACCCTGCAACTCTGCAAGTACATGAGCATTTAGCTGTGGTTTTCGCATGTGTTATAGTTGAATCGAAGAAGCTCAGAAATGTATTATGAAGATACATATGTTCAGCTCTTCTGTAGCTAGTGAACCTTCATAGGCAAAGTTATGCTTTGCGATCGCCAAGTAAATTTGTACACCATTAATTGGCCTTCCGGATCTTGGCTCTGTGTCTTTCTTTCTTTCTTTTTTGTAGAGGCTTCTTGGTGGATCGACCTTCATGTTTACCTTGAGTTGTGGCAGTCTGAGCTTCCAGTTCTTGACTCTGATTTTGTTGCTCACAAATTATCAGTGCTGTATCTAGTCTATGAAGATAGATTTTTTGTTGTTGTTGTGGCTCTCCGCCCGCTTGCATCCCATCTCTGAATTCGCCCATTTGGTGTACAATCATACCTTTTCACTCTCACAATCCTTTTGTTCCACCCCTTCTATATGCTTACTTTTGGTAGACATGTGAAGCACTAACTGAATCCACAGCTAGTGTCGATTAGGCTGTGAGTTGGTGTGTCAAATCTTTTTAAATTCTTCCAGAATAAGTCCCATTATATGGTTTTAGGGCCAACTCTTTTGCAATGTTCTTATACGGATGATATGTCTGCTTGATGTATAAGTAATTCGGGATAATTTCCTTAGTCACGGAAGAGTTCTTAGGCTTAAGCACTATTTCCTTCCTTTTGTTTTTTTCTTGATATTATGTGATTAAAGTTCCTTCATAAAGCTCATTCTTTCAATGTTTAAGATGAAGTTCTCTTGGAACTTCTAAATATATCTTCATTTATTCTGTGACATGTAAGATCGGATACTGTGTTGCTTAGGGAGTCTGCTGATATTCCATCTCAGATAACCTCTTCTAGTTTTGATCTGTCGTTTATGTTACATCTTTTGATCGATATTATCTCAATGGATGCTTGAATTTTCTTCTTCTTTATGTTGTACTATTATTGTGTGAGCCATCTCTGCATGTATAAACCGATCTCATTTAACAGCATGTGAAATAATTACTTTAAATGCAAAATGTATAGATGTGAAAGATTACATCGACTGGTTTGACTAATTAATGTAAATTGCAGGGCAGTTTTTTTCGATATTTGGCATTGTACCATATAAAAATATTTATGTGGGGAGGGTGGTAAAATACTTTAGATGCTTTTTTAAAGAATTGCAACAACTTTGTTTGTAGTTCAAAAATAATTACACACTTAACCATACATTGTATCTTAATTATACATGTGACCAAACATTGTATCTTAATTATACATGTAAAGTGATGCTTTGTAAAACTTTAATGTGCCAAACTACCAAGCAAATTCTGAGAGGGTATATGGCAAGATGCAAAATAAATATTGCCTATGTCCCTCAATTAAATTTCTAATTTAACTTTTATAGGAGGAAGTTTGATCCTAAATATATAAAAATATATACTTATAAAATTTATACTCCCTCCGTCCCGCAAAGAACTTCCCGCTTTCCTTTTTTAGCAGTCCCAAAAAGAAGTTCATCTTTCCTTAAATGTGAAGATATCTACATTAAACAATGTCAAACAGTGCAAAACAGTGTCAAAAAAGTAAAATTTACCCTCTAGTAAGTTTATTTCCTTAATATGTGTGTAGGTCAAACCGAGAAGTTCTTTGCGGGACGGAGAGAGTAATAAATTAACATTTTGAGGATATTTATTGCATGATAAAGTAGTGTGAAATTTGAATAATTAATGGTCAAAAATTATCTTGTCTTTGATCCAAGATTGATGAAAGCTACTCGGCTCGTGCTTAGGAATCGAAAAGGTTGCTGCTTCACCCATTTCAATGCCTTAGTAGTTAAAGGTCAGTCGAACCTCTGCCTCGACCTCAGTTGTTCTAGCTAGCACATATAGAAGAAAAAGTAACAAAATTGTTGAAAAACGCTAATGACAAAGAGAACTAAGTTTCTGGCTGGTAACACACTTGTACATTCTAGTCAATCCTAAGCTAAAAATCCAACAACAATGTTTATACATTGATAATTTCTCAGTAAACTGCTAGTGGTATTATAGAGAGAAGGGAGAGCTAAAGTTTAGAGAGAAAGAGTTTGATATTAATGATATTCGAACTCTTTACAACTGCCCCCCAAGGGGTATTTATTGTTGTAATAAATGAGACAGTGTATTAAATGCATTACACATGTCGACTATTATACGGGCGAGAGCTCTATGCCCTAAACTTGACGCGTATCATTCTCTAACCGATCTCTGCCCAAGTGTTCTCTTGGGCCGAGGTGACGATGGCTGAGATGCAAGGGTGCACCTCGGGTCTGGTGTTGTCCTTGTCTCTTGATGATTTCCTGGGATCTGTGGTCGAGGTGACATCACTGAGGTGATAACCCCCGAGGTGACTGTACGGACATGGAGCGTAACTTTTCATTCTTGATCGGGTTTGTTTGTGAGGTCCTCACTAATGTTATGGGCTTGGACTGTTGTATATCCAAGAGTGTGTGGGTCGTGGATCTGAACCCATATACTCTGTCATACGTAAAATCTATAAGTGTGTATGCATTCATTGATTTATATATCGAGTAATTTCATTGAACTGGATCACTTCTATGCTCGCTCCAGACTCTTAAGAATACAACCAAACAAAGATGATTAGGAAATGAGGAGCCAACTCTTTTAAAATGCCCGATCGGTCAAGAGGCTCGAGACCACCATGGATAATGCTGGTCACATTTTCTCAGACAAATCAACGGAACAACTGGCATGAAGTGTCTCTAAAAATTAGAGGAGGTTGTCCCCCATAAAGCCGATTGGAGGACCATTTACCACAAGACGACTATGCTCTTCCCAATCGAACTTCCTCATTAGGATCTGAATCTTGGCAAGGGCATATCTTGTCCTATTGGCATATATTACCTTTCAAAAATGTACCGCTCACACAACATGTATCTAGATAAAACCGCATGAATCTACATCTAGATAAGACAATTGTACATACAGTTTTGCTCTTTGGAAGCACTATTACTCTTATCATTATATCTCTAACCGTCGGAGGCGTAAGATGGGTGAAGTGTGCTACATGGGAGATGTCATAGGTTCCACCATTCTAGGCAAATATTTGAACGGGACCCTATACTTTTGCCTCAATTAACATCTTCTCATATAACTGTGTGGCCGATCCTGGAGGGCCTTAGGGGTGGTGTGTCATCCCTTTTTGTCTCTCTAATTGCTCTCTAGTTCAATTATTTATTTTGGAATTTAATCGTTGTTCTTCCCTAAAAAAGTAAACATCCTAATTTGGACTAAAATAGACATGAACAGTTCATGAATAGCTCACAAATGGCATAACTCGTCTACATCGCTATATAATGCTTCCTAAATTCTAACATGTCAATATTGTTACTCGAGCATATGAGTGGACATAGGTTGGTAAGTTGGTTACTGTTTGACGTGCAAGTTCTCCGCCCTATCTAGGATCGAGAGTGGTCGAGGTCCTCTCCCATTGAAGTCATGTCTTCTTTGTAGACTTAGAATAATTTTAATTAGACAAATCAAACGCAATAGACAATAGTAGACTAGACCAAACTTAATCATGTTAGTATAGACTTAGATAATAATAAAATACTCAATAACCAAAAACCTACCTACTTAAACACTTTAATGTATTTAATCCAGAACATAAATTTTTTAATGTATTTGTTATACTAGTAGTAGGCACGGACTCAAGCCGATCCGGGCACATTATTTTTTATTTTTTGTTTTGATTTTCTAATTACTTCCCCGCCCCCACCCTCAAATCCCTCCAAAACACCCAACCAACCCATTTACCTCCCAAAGAATTTGAAAAAAAAAATTGGCCCAGACCCATCCGATTCATTTTTTTGAGACCCGAAGTTCACCTCAAAAAAATAAGGTCCGGGTGGCCCAAACCAGACACGAACCCAGGTATCGGGCTGGGCCAAAACAGTACCGGACCAAACCGTTACAGGCCAGTTGACCCAGCCCAAGTCCATCCCTAAGTCCCTAACTAGTAGTTTAATATCAACATTCTCGACTCATAAGTTTAACCATATGAGCTCCTCATTGGAGCTGTCACAAATTCACAATTTACATATCCAATCAAGCTGAACTTGCACGCATGTCAATGTTGCATAGCTTAATAGTGCTACGGTGCTACCCGCGAGGTAAATTTTTCAACGAGCGCAAATGAATGCATTTACCAAGTATTTTATGTTTGTAATTGTAATCGTAATTTGATGTTGTTTGGTTTAGTTTTTATTAACTAACATGATTCATAAAACCATAAAGTTGGGCATGGCAACATGACACATAAATGTATATATCATGATAGCAAATGCTCTGTGAGTAGTTGGGCTTGCACAAAATCCTCGAACAAAAAGAAACCTAGTAATCAAGGACAACATAAATATCAAAACAAATGAAATGGGAGAAAAATTTCAACAAATTGGCCGACAGAATGAGCAGTGCAGCCAAACGGCAAATCCCACAGCACCACCACCAGAAGTTTTACTTGGGTGCAATATCCTTAACGGCACAGATCTGCTCCTCACCCATGGAGGACATGACGGACACAACAAGTTCCTTCCCTTCCTCAAATCCCACCTTTATCTACAATGCACACCAAACAATAAAGGTTAACCAAGGTTGAATAACAGCACAATTTTGAGGATAAACCAATACCAGCATCAGTACAAAAAAAATTAAGTGTGAATTGCATGATTAAACTTAGTAAAACATGAGTGCTTTACCAAACGAGTGCTTTACCAAACGAGTGCTTCTAATTTTCCCTAAATAGGAAAACACTGCTATAGCATGTCAGTAAGGTTTCAGAATTGCATACATTATTCCTGTTTAGGATAAAAGTATAGTACTCCTATTGATGGAAAACACATACTCCGTAGGTTTTACTCCTATTTAGGGCATGCTGTGTATAAATAATGAATATCAGAGTGCTATCTAATATAACTTCAGAGCTTAAAACAAACATTGTACGTTAACACAATGACATCTTTATGACACCTATGGTAATTGTACGTCCACACTTGACATATTAAAATACACTGTATGTTATCAGATATGCCATCAATATCAGAGAAATTTTGAAGGTTTAAACATTGGGTATAACTTGACAGGCTCAAGGGCTCGTATCAGCATGTCTGTAAAAAAACTGAGTTGATTTTACATTCATTATAAATCTTTCAATGAAAAAATGATAACAAATTCAAGATAACATTCATTATAAGCTTTACATGGAAGTAATGACATATGTCCAGTTTTGATATTTGATCATAACTGCCTCTCTCAAAGAATTTTTTTACCATTTCTCAAAGAATGTTTAGGCAAGGGTGTCTGATATAAAAAAAAAATTGTAGGTCAACTCATTGAAAGAATACAAAGCGTCATGTGTCTTTTATGGGATTCATGGAGTAGAATCCGTTATAATCATTGAAATATATAACAACATAAACTGTGGACACCACCACTGTATGCTTACCTGTGCAAGCAAAGCATCATCAGTTGGAAGTTTGAGATCATCCTTGGTCTCACCATTATCCATGAGCAGACTCACCTGCAACATTGAGAAAAATGAATAAGTTCATTTTACAAAGAAGAAACTACTCAAGTAAAAGTAGATCAGAGACATACAAATCCATCTTCTGATATATCAATAAGCTGGTAATCTGTACGGGTAACATGAGGCACCTGCATTAAAGGAATAAGATTAAATTACACATGAATAGAATAGAAACGTTAACAGTTACTAAATTCATAGTGGAACACAATTGGTGGTTGGGGCACTTCTTTCAAGGGAGGAAGTGTTCAGTCCTCAACACAATATAACACCCCACAGAATGCAATGAAAATAAAGGGTCTAGAATACTAGACATAAGTAAGAACATTATTAGCTAAAATAAAGGAGCATACATATTGTCGACACAGTTAAATTTCAGTGAATCCAGCATTGTAAAAAGAGAAAATTAGGGAATATAATTTACATCACAGTTATGTGAAGAAGGAACAATATCTTCAAGTTTCTTAGCCGTGAAGATATCAATCGCAACAAAGTGGCACTTAGCATGACCATGCTTGCCAGTCTTGGATGTTGAGACTTCCACAACCTGCAACAGTACATAAATTAGGCCATTGTACAAACTACAAACCATGAAATTATTTGAAGAACGATCAAGAATGTTCATGTCACTACTTCGAATTATATAACATTATAAAAATGAAAAAAGTTGACTAAGTTTGACTTTCCAATGAAGCAGTAATCTAGACCATCATGTAGAGAAAGAAGTTAACTAAATAATAGGAGTTGGTTTCCAGTTATGTAGACAAACAAAAATTATATGCGATTTAACCTCAAAAAATGATAATAAGGCTTTTACAGTTTTTTCTTATCCGATAAAACTTCATTTTACTACAAAAGAGGGGGTACGGCCTACATCAGGTTAATCTGGAATAAGATAAGTTTAAAAAGTACTGAATCACAGAACTCAAATCAACTCAATTTTACAGCAGAAAAGTTTGAAATACACACTACCATATTGACACATTTTTTAGATACAATTGACACGGTTGATTGATCAGACTAGTGTTTTTCAAACATCTGTAGGTGTACCTAAAATTATCGTATATAACTTGGAACTAGCTGCTATTGGCAGTTCTTTGCAAAATACATGGAAAGATAGCTTCAATTGATTATAATGGATTCTATTTGGGTATACAAGAATTCGAAAAAGTCTATTTTTAAGACGAATGAGGTGAAGCAGAAAATCAACATGAAGCAAAAGCAATAGAACCCAATACGATAGAATGCGAATACGCACAAAAACGTACAAAACACCAAAGGCAAACATAACTAATCAGATCCAGCATTAATTAACATAACCAATTGCATAAAGCTGTTACAAGAAGGATGTGTACAGACGCATGAAAATTGATATAAAGAGAGACCTTGCAAGGACGGTTTTTTATGAGCAGGTATCCACTCTTACGGACGGTACCGGCTTGCTGGGGATAGGTTTTGGATGCTCCAGCGTCGGCCTTGTTCTCGAACTGGTGCTCCTCGTCCGACATCCTTCCCGATTACTAAAAGCCGACGACTTGTGTAGAGAAGACGATAGATGGGGGGAAGGGCAGAGTCGGAGCTTGCGTGTTGGTGGTAGAAGAGAAGACTGAAGAGGCTATATGATAGGGTTTTGGTGAAACGAAGGCCGTAGGATATGTGATAGCCATCTAACGGTTAGATGTTAGTTGTTTTGGTGCGGCTGGGAAAGACTGAAAGACTGTAGTGAATCGATAATTCAATATAGTTGGACTAGAGAGGGTAAGGAGTTTTTTTACAAAAAAAAAATGCGTTGTAAAACATTTGTTGAAAGCAAAAAGTAAAATAAAAATCAATTATGCATATACATTGTATATATAAATTACTATTTCACTCATGTGTTGCATGTGATATTATATACTAGTGGATATTACAAATATTGATATTGATGGAGTTTAATCCAATTACGAGAGCTATATTTATGAAAGCAGATGAAAATATGGCAGCGTACGGTAGTATTGTATTGATTGGAGTTTCGATCCCTTTTCAGGAGGTTTACAAGTCATATTTGTAGGCTAAGGAATTAGTGTTTCCAAAGGAAACCGATACAACAAATGCTATTAATTACACATTAGTTCGAATAGGACTCTTGTAACGTCTCGATCGTTGTGCAATGATTGTTCCTTTATTCCCACGTTCATGTCGTTAACGCTTGTCGGCTGTCGATCTAATGATAGCGTGCCACATCAGCCCTAGGAATATTCCGACCTCACTAGAACTCTGCCCAGGCTCGAGGTCTGCTTCTCAGCCTGGCCTGGTTGTGGATTCCTCTCGCGGGTCTGATTCCTATTTGGGCTCAGTGGTTATCTAACATTAATCTCGTTAAGGGCTTGGTCCCGTCGTGGGCTTTTGGGTTGTACTTCCGCAGTTGGGCCATGGTTGAATTCCATGGTCCATCACGAGCCCCTACTCTCTAAAATCAGCGAGGCTGGATTTTAAGAGAGTAATTGGAGCGAACAATTTCAAATTTGGAATCCTTTGGGTGGACTGTAGCGCTGCTTGCATTAAATGCGTCCGACTTGACATAAGCCTGCACCCCAGTACAGTTTCCAATCTGACTTACCATCTTCAACACTCAAGTGTCATCATTACGGTTCCCAAGCAGTTTCCAAGCTCTAATTCCTTGTCTATTTAAATGCCTATCATCTTTCATTACGCTCTTCCGCAATCTTCATTTCCGCTTTGGTCTTCGTCTTCAAGCTTCATCAGGTTAGTTTCCCTGATGTCTTCTTCGAGTTCTGTTCCTCTGCACCACGTATTTCCCGACGCAGGGGCCACCTCCAACCGGCCCCGCATTCCGGTGGACCCGGATGGGAGGGAAACACACTTCTTCCTTTCTTGCGACTACGCCCGACAAGTCCCGGCTGTCGCTTTTTCTGATGCCGAATTCGGCGAGGCGATGGCCCTTGCGGGCCCTAATGTCGTCTGTTGCCGCTCTTCCCCTAGGCAGAACATCGTAGTCTTCTACCCTTCTGCTCGGGATTAGAACTTCCGAGGGTGCTCGTGCCTCGGACCCATAGGTTAAGGCGAACGGCGTTTCCCAGTTGCTTTCCTTGGGTTGTCCGATAGGCCCACAGGATATTGTTGAGCTCGTTTACCCAAGTTGTTCCCATAGATTCCAGCTTCTTTTTCAGGCCACTAACGATCGTTATGTTCACATTTTCAACCTATCCGTTGCACTGAGGGTAAGCGATGGATGCCCTGCTAGCATCGACTCCCCATTGCTCACAAAATTCTTTAAAGGGCTCGGAATCGAACTGTATCCCATTATCAGTGATAATCTGCATGGGAACACCGAACCGGCAGAAGATGTTTCTCCATATGAACTTTTTGCATTGCTCAGCAGTGATCGTGGCCATCGGCTCAGCCTCAACCCACTTAGTGAAGTAATCAACTGCAACTATCATGAATTTCTGACCTCATGAGCCCTGCGGCAGGGGACCCACGAGATCTATTCCCCACCTTGAGAAGGGGATTGTTGTGCTGATCGAGACATATAAGTTGGCCTGCCTGCCCGGATTCGTTTGGAATTTCAGGCAGACCTCACACCTTCGTGCGAAGTCCGCACAGTCCCTTATCATGGTGGGCCAAAAGTATCCTTGTAAAATGGCCTTTCTGCTCAAAGTAAACGCACCTTGGTGTGACGAGCAAATTCCCTCATGTAATTCTTTGATTACCTGTCGGGCTTGATCCGGTCTCAGATGTCACGCCCCGGACCGCATCGGTGCCACATAGACAACCGCTGTACAACCCAATAAGAACAACAACAGTTCATCCCTATTGAATTATACAAGGCGTCCGATAGATTCTATTGCCAAACCGATTAGTAAACACATACAATCAACATCAATATCATAATCAAACAAGTGCGGAAAATATAATACGTTTGATAATTAGCCACACGTGGCTAACACGAACACGCAGGCTCCCAACTGTTTTAGAAGGAAAACATTGTTCAAATATCCATGTGCAGTTTATAAATTTCAATAAGAATGGAAGCACGAACCACGTCTCCCTTCTTGATCAACCACCCAAGGAAAAGGTGCGGGTAGTAGGACTCTAGACTTAACCTGAAAAATGTGAGGGCCCCCGGAGGGGTCGGTACTCCATAGAAGTACTAGTGACAAGCAGGATACATGAGGAATAACTAATGTTTCACACATGAGACCCAAAAATAGGATGTTACATATTCATATAGATGTCTCTCATCCACCCGATGATACATACTGTATATATACTTGTAAAATACTTAACCCGTGGGTCATTTACCTTAAAGAGTCTTTTAGAGATAAAGTTCTTACCTGACTTATCTCACTCCTTCCCCGGATACCTAGCTCATAAGCTATGTTCTACATTCATAATATCCTACCGAGTTTCAGGATCATTTACCGTCCCGGGGATACTCAACCCCAACCGAGTTTCAGGATCATTTACCGTCCCGGGGTTACTCAACCCCAACCGAGTTTTAGGATCATTTACCGTCCCGGGGATACTCACCCCCAACCGAGTTTCAGGATCATTTACCGTCCCGGGGATGCTCAACCCCAACCTTATTCCTTACCAAACCCTAACTTGGATATGCCTAACCTTTCATTCCTCTAACTATGGACAACACCTAGCCCTATAGTCATATAATAATCCTTAGTAATCAACGTGGATGGTTCTCACCCGAACGCCCCATATTTGGGTTTAGGTGTAAAACTGGCCGTTTGGGTGTAAAACTGACCGTTTGGGTGTAAAACCCAATACCCGGTCGAGTACCAACCTATACCCAGTCGGGTATAGGAGACACCAGCCCCTGGGGCAAGTTTCCAGCATATACCTGATGGAGTATATGGGTCTGAGCTCCCGGACCCACATACTCGGAAGAACAGAAAGCACAAGACACAGAGTGGCGCCCTCGTCGGCCAAGACGCCCCCGTCGGCCGAAAAGGGGCCAACTCAGATTATGGTCCTGAGCCCAAGGAACCCGGGTGCCCTCGTCGGCCGTGCCCTCGTCGGCCGTGCCCTCGTCGGCCACGCCCTCGTCGGCCCCGAAGACCTCGCAGAACCGGATTTTATACTTATTCATTTGTACAGCCCATTAGTGGCTTTGTATTCGGCCCAGTAGCGGTCCAGTTGTAAATGGGCCTCCCAAGCCCAAGGCTTGGGAGCCCAGCCCGTATTTTCTCTATAAATACTCCCCTTGGGAGTAGTCATAGGGGTTACAAAATCATTCTATTGAAGCATATCATTGCACTTCTCTCTCTAGCTCTCACTTCTCTCTAGATATACTCTATCATTTGGTGCTCTCGTTGAGAGCTAGAACAATCAAGTTAGCACCCTTCGTCGCTACCAAGCACAGCTAACCACTGATCATGGGGAGAACTAAGTCAAACCGCAACCTCGTCAGCAAAGCCATCCCTGAGGACCAAGAGCCCAGGGAGCACGATGAGGACGCCACGGCCGACCAGGTCGGCGGAGGGGACCTCTTCCAGGAGGCCTTCAACCTCACGACGGACCTCCGCAACCAACTCAACGGCGGAGTCCCTGATGCCCGCCTCGGCCTGGACAAGAAACGAGCTGAGAAGACGGACCACGCCCCGGCCCAGCCTATGGCCGCGGCCTCTCCGTCCATGGATCCGCAGGTCCAGGCCGCGCTATCGGTCATCATCGCCAGCCTGGCCCAGAACCCCACCGTCCTCAGCGCATTCTTGCCAAGGACCGGGGGGAACGTCACTCAACCCCCTCAGCCCCAACCGTTGGCCGTCCAGATAGGCAACGATGAGGGGGTGGTGCCCCAGGACACGGCGTCGTCCCACTCCCACCCTGCTTCCCCTCTTCGGCCTGGGCAGACCCCAGCGCGTGGAAAAGTCTCTGCCTTCAATAGGCTAGGTGACACGCGCCGTCGTCCGGTTTCGGAGAGGATGGCGGGACGGATTGGTGATCCTCGTCCTGGCTCGCCGAGGGAAAGCTTGGGGTCTGTGTCCCGGACAGCGGACCAGCCCCGCCCGGACAAGGGCAAGGGAAAGTTGCACGAGGATGACGTGCGTCACCAGATCAACGCGGCTCACAACGAGCGCATGAGGAACCAGCCGGGCGCCGTTGCGGCTGCCAGGGACCCCCGGGACGAGGTCATCGCCCAGCTGGAAAGGAGGCTGGCTCAGATGGAGGCCAATCAGTCAGCCAACATCCCTACGGCCGGCGCCTCCAACGACCCCGGCCTCAACGCGCTCATGAACAAGGTCAGCGCCCTGGAGAGGGAGCTGGCCGAGGGGTGAGGTGACCCCATCATCCAGGTCAGGACCAGGACCCCTTTCACCAACAGGGTCCTCTCGGACCCCATCCCGGAGAAGTACAGGGGGAACGCCATCAAGTCCTACGACGGCCGATCAGACCCCCAGGAACACTTCAACCGTTACCAGAACAACATGCTGATGGTGAACGCGTCCGACGAATACCTCTGCCGTTGGTTCCTCTCTACTCTCGAGGGGCCAGCGTACGAGTGGTTCAACGTGCTCCCCGAAGGGAGCATCGACTCATGGCAGGATCTCGCCCAGCGCTTCCTCACTCACTTTGCCGGGAGGAAGCGCGCGAAGAAGTATTTCACCCACCTCCTCTCCGTCAAGCAGCAACACGAGGAGTCCCTCCGATCATTCATTGATCAGTGGACGAGG